CGGCGTGTCAGCATTTTGAAAAACCCTAACTTAACTCTGGTGCTGTGTCACATATAGAAATTTTTTGATATTTGCAACCATAGTAAAACAAAGATTTATATTTTTGATATTTATTTTATAAATTTAAATGCCATTTAACAAAGAAAAATCAACCAAAAAAATGAGTTCGCGTGTCAGAGGTGTCATAGGTTCGCCATCACTGCTCTAGACCATGCTCTGTGCACCAAGGACCATGGCAGTCCTTTGCTCCTTCATCACTCTGTTGTCGCCTCTAAGACTTGAGTGTAATGTTAACTACCGCTGCCTTAGTATGTCTTCTACTGAAGAGCCTCTCTCAACTACCACAACTTCTTAGGAAATTTTCATGTTTGAAGGACTAATTTGTGACTCCCCTCCTCAAGCTGACAAAATAGGAAACAACACAATTACTGAGCAGCATGTAGGGTGGTGCACACCCAGGAGGGGAGACATGCTGCCCCAGAAACTCACAGCACTGGCAGAACAAGGGTTATCTGCCTGCAAAATAGCCTCTGAGGAAACTTCTCTGCTTCCCTTAAAGGTGTCAAGCCATGATTCTGCAGCCACCTATCCATTCAGTGTTCCACCACAGCTGGTAGCTGTAATGGACTGAAAAGGCTGAAAATGAGCTTACTAGCTCGCAGCCTTCATGTGACATGACTAAGAAGGCTTGACCAATAACCCACATTAACTTTATGTGATTATTCCAGAGGGAAAATGTCTTGATTCGGGTAGAATTCATTCTGCTTTAAATGCTTTTAGTGTCATCTCTAACTTCTGCTGCTATATGCTATTTATTTACAGCAAGCAGATACCCAACTAGTATTGATGACAGTGGACCTGTGTTTAAAGACCTTGTCAATAGGCACTGGAACTAAGCTGCCAGCCCTTCGGCCCTGCTAAAGAATTCAGGCTAAATGGATCCTATTGGCAGCTGAGAATGACCTAAAGAAGCAGCCTGACCATTGCTCAGTAAGCTGTTTTCATGCCCACACTGGTGTCACTTGTGACTGCTCAATATTAATCAGGTCAAAATCTCAAGATAACCTGTCTCTACTTGAACTTAAGGGTTTATAAGATCAACTTGCATCTAGAAACAGTTATCTTTGGTTGAGTGCTTACCATGTACCAGGTGCTGTGTTAAGACGTTTGCATATATCATCACATTTAAATGTGCATCCAAAGCATCTTGTAATAACAGCTACTAACACATTAAACTGTCACTCTATGGCAGACTGTATTGACAGCTTGACACCATTTGGAGTGACCATTACTACTAACCTTTCCTAACAAAAGAGGCAGTGTTTGAGTCCTAAATGGGCTAGCAAGTCATTCCTACCAGGATCAGTTGGGAAGGTTCTCCCTAAGGCAGGCTTGATCCTGGCAGAGCCATTAGAACATTTCTTTTGGATTACTTACTTTTCTTGTTACTGTTCTGTATTTTCTAAGTCTTATATGATGAGCAACTTTTAGAGTAAGTGCTCACAGAATACTTAATGTGTTCTCATGTTAAACATTCAACTACACAAAGCCGTTTCCTTAAAATTCTTGCTTTCTTCTCCCCCACTCCAATCTCTTTTCCAGTGAAAAGTTTGTATTAATTCCCCTAGACATGCATTTTCCTAAAAGGACATGACTATCCACATGTGGCTATCCAGCACTTGAAATGCTCTAGTTCAAATTGAAATGTGCTTATAAGCATAAAATATACATGAGATTTAAAGACTAAGTATAAAAATATAGTGTAAATTATATAATAATTTTTAGAGTGATTACATATTGAAATGATACTTTTTTGGATATATTGGGTTAAATAAAATATAGTATTAAATTAATTTCATCTGTTTCTTTTTACATTTTTTAATATAGCTATTAGGACATGCGGCTCACATTACATTTCTATTGGACAGTGCTGCTCTAGATCATTGTAGTACATTTATACACTTATATGTATACGCAGAAATACATATTTTTGGTGTTTTCTAACATAAATCTGCATTACCTTTATACTTGAATTCAAACATTTTTCTTAAAAAAGTGTATAATTTTTAAATGCATTGGTAGGGGAGGGTGGGGGGAAAGGGGAGAGATCAACCAAAGGACTTATATTCATGCATATAGGCCTAACCAATGGACACAGACAACAGGGGGGTGAGAGCATGAGTGGGGGGGTACTGAGGGGGTAATGTGGGGATAAAGGCACATATGTAATAACTTAATTAATAAAGAAATTAAAAAAGAAGTATAATTTTTAAATGCATTGGGCATTACATCAATTCCTTTCTTCCTCACTTTCTTTTTCTCTTCCTCCTCTCCTTCTCCAACCCCCAACCCTCATACTTCTTGACAATCTACAAAGCCTCAGAGTGAAGATAGCAATAATTATTCTTGGCCATACACATGCTAAAGCAAGCACACCTAATATTTGTATATATTCAACACAGGGGTATCCCCTTATTGGAGAAAAGAAAAGGCTAGTTAGTGGACAAAGGCTTTGGAGTTAATGGGTCCTAAACATACATATAGGGAATGGCTGTATGATCAAAAGTGATGGGTAGTTTTAAGTAACTAGATCCAAATTTGCTCTTCTTACCACATCATTTCTTTCAGATTTTTTTGTAATAGGCATAGTTTATGTTGTGTGACTGTGTACTGCCATAACTACTTTCAATTTGATCAATATTGCATATAAAGGACCACCTCAGTTCAGCTACTGAATCTTGATAGTTGTTGACACATGTGACCCATGTGATCCTTTCTTTGCTAAGTTCTGACTAGTTAAAGGAATATTGAAAATATTTTACAATGTACCTAGTAGCTTTTACTCTGTCTAAGTAAATATCTAACAATGAATCAGTTCAGTGGATTATGCAAAAGAAATGATCCCAAACAAGTGCCTCTTTCTTCTCCACTTAAAAAACAGCTGCATGCACATAAACAATTTACACAGAGTGCACTCGTGTAAATGAGCTGGGAACACACACACACACACACACACACACACACACACACGCGCGCGCAGCCTTCCCATGCTGGGCTGGAAGGCTGTTTACCATGTTCTAGCAAGGCCTTCACACATGCAAAACATTAACAGCTCTTACTTGGCCTCAGCGTAGAACCTCATTGAGGGCAGAGGAGAGAAAAGACCGTTAGGTATGAGCAGAGGTGCTGTGACAACTCATTCTTTTCATCCCTGTGAGCACTCCTTGGTGCTCGGTGCCAGGTGTGTCCCTCTGGTTCCATGCTGCCTTGATAAAGGGCTGCAGTTGAAGGCATGTTTATTCCTTTGCTTACTCACTGCTGCTCTAAGACGAGCTTCCCAATAGGTAAAATGAGGAATTGGATGGGGAGTTCCAAAATTTACTCCTAGCTGGTAATTCTCCCAGCCTAACAAATAAAATTTCCCCTGAGCAGATTCCATAGGCATTGTTTTAAATGCTCCATTGATAGGGCGTTTGAAAGGTATTTCTTTCATTTCCTCCTATTCCTCACCATCTCTTTCCATCATTAAGGAAGAACAGAAAGAAAGCAAAACAGAAACACAGACTAGGGTAACATAGGGATTTTCAACCTTTTCTGAAGTGCTATATATCACTGCAATTAAGACAATCTTTTGAAACTTGAAAAAAATCTCCCTTAATTAGGATGGACTTCACCTGAGTAGATACCATCTGCTGTAGGGGGCCAACCCTGTTCTCCTCAGGCCTTGGTAGCTACAGGTGAGTAGAGGCCCTCTCCTTCCCCACACACACCACTGCTCAAGAAGCTGGCAGGGAGCTCTCAGCAGGCAGGAAGTGGGGTGGGAGTGAGGGGGTCTCCACCCACTAGCAGCTGCTTAAGTAGTAGGCAGGGGAACTCTTCTACAGAGAAATTCAAGTCAGCAGATACTCCAAACCAATTTAAACCACATGCTACCCAGTTGTGGAATTAAATTAAAATGCGAAGGAAGGATCTGGAATACCAATTCCCTTATTTTTTCTCTACCTTGTGCTTGACACCCAAAAGAATAAAGCAAGAACAGTTGGACTTGGTGATAACGGGAATTATTAGGCAACTGGAAGGAAGTGAAGGCAGCACACACCTAGGGAAGCTGTCTTCACAGAACAGTATGTACCAGCGATTAAATGTCAAGACTCATCATAGTCCAAGTAGTGATGTCTACACAGGTTTAGTAACTTGCTCGTTCAGACTTAACCAAAAGACAAGCTTGACAGATTATCAGAATCTTTGAAGGAGGGCCGAGGGTGGAGTAGGGTTTTTTGGGAAAGGAGTGAGGTAATTTCTAAAAATGACTTCATAAATTTTTTAGAAACAATAATACTATCATCTCAGTGGTTTTTGCTATAGTCTATTCTACTATAACGTGAAACAGAAGTGTTGCCAAATGTAGAGAAAACATTTCCAAATAAATCATACATTACATTAAAACTCTAAAATAAAAATGTGTAAATATGTATTTGTTCATCAGACTTTAGAGCATTTTTTTTTATTGTCTAAAGTTTTACATATGTCTCCTTTTCCCCCTGATTAAAACCCTCTCCCCAGCCATTCTCACCCCGGGCAAGCCCCCACCATTTAGAGCATTTTTGTTAACATTTTCCTTGTGGGTGAAATTTGATGTTTTCTTATGCTACTTCTTTAACAATAATTTTATATGACTTAGCAAAGGATAAGAACTGGGTTCAGAATTTTTTAAAATATTTTTTATTGATTTCAGAGAGTAAGGAAGAGGGAGAGAGAGAGCTAGAAACATCAATGATGATAGAGAATCATTGATCGGTTGCCTCTTGCGCGCCCCACACTGGGGATCCAGCCCACAACCGGGCATCTGCACTGACGGGGAATTGAACCGGGACCTCCTGAGTCATAGTTTGATGCTCAGCCATTGAGCATGTGGCCGGGCTGGGTTCATAATTTTTTATATATACTTTTAATATTTTATCTTATATTCCTTCAACAATAGGAAAACCTTAAATGATTACCTCTGTAAATGTGTTCCGATTAGCTTGCAAGCCAACTTTTACTACCTCAAAAGGATTAACCACGATGGCTTCTGTTAGTCCAGACCCCAGTCCAGCAATGGCAAATGTCTAGAAAATTAAATAAATCAATACTTTAAAACAAGTTATCATGTGTACTAGGTTAAGCATCCTACTCACAATACAGTGCAACTGAATGTGATGATGAAAATGGAGAAACTTACATAAATTCACCGTATACCATTACTAAACAGCTTTAGTTCTTGATTAGATGCTGACAATTCATGAAGAAGAAATTACAGAAGCCGCAAACCATATCCTAACAATTCAAAATAGAATGTCAAGGCCCCATCAAAAATGACTTTTTCCTTTAATGAGAAGAAAGGTTGTTTTACTGATTTAAGGTGAATACTAAATCATCTGCACATGGAACAATTAAAAGAGAGTTTGACTTGTAAAAGGAGAGCTTCATTGTAAAATATCTATTTAAATACATTTATTGGGCAGATTAAAAAATTCAAGGAGCAGAACCACAAATAAAGAGTTTAAAAAGGCAAAATTTCAGGTAACTAAACAGTATAGCTACAACATCTAAATTTACAGCTGTATTCTTAGAGCCACTATTCTAGACTACTATCCCCCCAAAATTATTTTTTATTCATCCTTCCCCTGTTTTATAAACACCTGGCAATTGCACTAGTCTTCCAGACCTAGAAGCTGAGGAATGGAACCAGAAATGGCTATGTTTTTCTGAAGGCTTCAACTAAAATCTAGAACATGCAGCAAATGACTTATTTGCTATCTCTTAAGAATTTCTGCAGTAGGAAAGAAGAACTTTCTAGACTTTTTCTGTAAATAGAACACTTAAAGATTTTTCAGAAAATCTGTATCAAAAATAACCACAATAATTAACACACACACACACACACACACACAGCAGGAAAACAAAATGAAACAAAGCCTCAAATCTGCAAAACAGATGCTAAAAAATAAAGCTCTAATTCTCAGAGAAGAGGTAGTAAAGAGGAGGAAAATGCCAATTAAGAGTAAAGAACAGGTAACTTTTCAGAAGTCTCTGCTTTCTCCCAATAGGAGACTAAAAGCAAAAAGGGACAAAGGAATGTCCTATAACCTTAGAAGGGGAGGCAAGGATCCAGAGCTAGTGGGTCTGGGTTTAGGCCCTGGTTCTGCCATTTATTGATTGATTTGGACCAGTGCTGCCATTTACAAAAGTGTGTGTGGAGCCTGCAGTCCAGCCTGCACCCACTTGCCAGTCTGGAGCCCTAGAGAGGTGTCAGTCAGAAGAAAGAGGTGCCTTTTTGTAATTCACATAAAGACACCACATGTGCTAGCTGCAGCTCTGCGTCTAATCACTGAATCCTTTGTAAGCCACAGTTTTCTCATCTGTAAAATGGAGAAAATCATATGAAATGCCCCTACCTAATCAGAATATTATGGGGGTCAAAATCATGTGTGAAAGCCCTTTGTCAAGTGTTTTACAAAAACCACTCTTGTTGCACATACAGATGGACAGGAAGAATGGTGCTGTATGCAGATTCCAGGAGAGAGGGAGAAACTAATCATGTTTTTCTTTCATGTCCTTTCATTTCGATTTTAAACAGGTTTGCACAGGGTAAAAGATCAAATATCTTGTTCATGTATCTTGGGCTTCCATCATGGAAGCCAAAAGCAGGAAAAAGAAATAGTAGTCCCAAACTTTTCTGACTGAAAAAGCTGAAATCCAGATGTTCAGGTTTTTATTACTATATGCAATCTTCCAAGTAATTCACTTTTTTGTTCTGTAAACTCAGCTACATTTGCTGTCAGAAATAGTGTTCAGCAGTCCCTTGTCAAAAGAATTGATCAGCTATCAGCAGATCATGTTACTCAGATTGTTCCAGAGACCAGCAGTAACTGTCGGGATCCCAGCCTCCTAGGCTTTTCATGTGGGAGCACCAGGAACATTTAATGGCTGTTTAAGTGTCTAGCTGTATCAGAAAGAAACTGGAATAAATGAGTTCAAGAGAAAGGGAAAACTGTATACAGTTTGCATGCATTCGGTTATGGTAGCTGGAGTGGCCGAAGGCTTTCTGTTTCAATTCCCAAGAGAGTCGAGAGAACTGCATTTTCTCACATGGTACCAATGCTCCACACAGGAGCTGCCAGCTGGCCCTCTGGAGACCATATTTTATTGTCTTTTTCTAGAAAGGTTTCTAATTCTCTCTTGAACAACTTGTTTTTAAAGTTAAGAGTGACATTAAGGGGAGACACTAAGGAATTAAAAAAAATAACTTACCTAATTTTAGGACTCATGGTACCACTTCTTTTATATGAGGCCACCTCAGAGCCACCTTGTTTAGGTAGGAGACTAGACAAGAGGTTTCTTTGTCATAACACTAAGCCATACTAGTAGTTTTTTTTTTTTCCATAGGATCATTCTTGAAAAGGGACATGCATGACTTTTTAAACAACAGATACTTCTTGGACAGCCTATTTGGCAAAGTAAATATCCTGAAATGAACCTTTACAAACAAGTAAAGTAATTAGAGTTGAAGCTCAGAACACTGCCTCTGGTTGAGTTAGGAGAGTTTTCAATTGGAGGGGCAATGCAGATTTGACTTTGTTTTGTGTTGTTTTGCAGATGCAAAGGGAGAAATTAGTGCATTTGCTCTCTCTGGGGCTCTCATAGCACACACACATATTGTAGCATGTACTTGGTCAATATTATTTAACTCGTTTTGTGAAAAGCCGCAAAGTCACCAAGAAGGAAAGGAGACGGTAGGAAACATTCGAATTACCAAGTGGTTTTCATGTAATCGTTGAGATGTGTCATTGTCAGATCATTATTCTCCCTGACTATAAAAGACTCTTCAGTCCGTATATGACCACAGAGTCGCCTGAAGCCCTATGTTTACTACAGCTTAAGTAAAAGCTGGAAAAGTAACCTGCTAGGAAATAGTTTTAGGCATCTTGACTTTTGCATAGATATGTGCAGTATATAAACATGCATGTCTTGGCTTTAAAAGAATCTTTGACAAATGTATTCTTTATTTTACATTCTTGACCATATATCACATGAGCCTTTCTACACATATCATTATTATAATAAATTCATCACTGGGTGCTATAAAATAGCCAAATTGTGAGTTATTAGGAAGATGGCTTTCAACAAGTAGCTGAACATTGAATAACTCGAATTCATATTTTAGTAGTTGGGCTTGGGGATTCAAAAGGCTTTTTGTTTCCAGATTTTGTTTTATGAAATAACACACACACACACTCAAGTATAATAAATATTCTCACTTACCAATGCTGGCGACAGCGACACATATCCTAGCAATTTCTTATATTGCTCAAAGGTGAAAAACTGTGAAACAAAACCAAACCCAGAGATTTATAACAATTTCCTGCAACAAACCCTTTAATTGACTCAAATTTCTTTAGTGAATCATTATATTAAACAGCATTTAAAAAAGATGAACTATCGAACACAGTTTCTAATCTGGTCTCCGGTAGATGCTATTGGATCTTACTTTAACATTCACATTTTCAAATGCAGCTATAATAACCTACAGAGGAGCTGATGGGATCCTTTATAGGAGTAAATGGACCATACAGCCTCCATTTACCATGACCATTTTCAGTTTCCCCAGACATCAATAGACTTCTTTTTTATGGCAGTGATTCAGAATTATAGGCATAGAGACCTGAAATCTTCAGTCTCCTCTGTGATCTCTGTGAATTGCTTTCCCAGTGAACGCCCAATTATCTATCCGACTTGTAAAAGACAGCCACTTCTCAGCTTAACTTGCATTTGTATTGCTGTGTATACCTACTGTTCCAAAAAATTTCCCAACACTCAGTGATGATGAAGATATCATTATAAACTAGGAAAGGACTCAGTGAGGTCATCCAGCCCATCCCTGCTTAAAGGCAGACTGTCCACCTGAGCAGAGGACAGCTGCTTATTCCCTCCTTTAAAATATGATGATGATGATGATTTTGTTGGCTCCTCCAGTGGATGATGTTTCATATAATTTTCCTGAAAATGAGTTTCTAAGGAGGCAAATCTAATTAATCACTTTGAATAACATACCATAAATACATTACATCCCCCCACCCCAAACATTTTGGGCAACAACTCTGCTTGAACATGATGTTTTACTCCTGGGTACTCCGTTAGGCAGCCATAAGCAGCTTCGATAAGGCACCCTCTTAGGTCCTGCTAGTCTGTTTCCCAAGACTCCAGAAATGGCCTGGGTATTTTGTAATCGCATATGTCTTCTACACTATTACTTTTTAATCCAGTAAAATGAAGCAAGAAAAAACATGTAGAGTTTGGGGCCAAATAATACTCTGTTGTTAGAAAGAGGTAGTTCTGTGGTGTAGACATGGCTCAAATGAGTCTTTGGGCATCCCAAGGGTCATGACAATCCCAGATAGATATCCAGTCTTTTAAAGACCCATGAACTACTTTTGTGTCATGCTTCTTTAGGTTAACTGTGTTTGTAGACTTTTCTAGAAATAGGATTCCTTCATTTACTCATTCAAAAAATATTTTCTTGGATGCCTCCTGTGTTCTAAGAGGCACTGGGGATGCAGTAGTAAACAAAGAGAACCCTGCCTTCTTGATCTAACATTCCAGTGGATGGTGATAACCCTGAAACTATATCCTGGCGTTACAATAATACCACCAGGGACCACCACGTTTTTGATGAGAGCTGCACTAGAAACCATTAACCATGAGAGGAAACACATTATAGTTTTGAGCTTTAAAGATAATTTATTTTTCTCCTTTTTTATGGTCATCACCTTCACTGTTTTAGACAATTACCTTACTGGGATTTTTTTAAAAATATATATTTTATTGATTTTTTACAGAGAGGAAGGGAGAGAGATAGTTAGAAACATCAATGAGAGAGAAACACCGATCAGCTGCCTCCTGCACACCTCCTACGGGAGATGTGCCCGCAACCCAGGTACATGCCCTTGACCGGAATCGAACCTGGAACCTTTCAGTCCGCAGGCCGACGCTCTATCCACTGAGCCAAACCGGTTTCGGCCTTACTGGGATTTTGACAGAAGCAGTTCTGGGTCTGAATCCTGGCTACACTACTCAGCTGTGAAAGTATGGGTGAGTCGCCTGACCTTTCTAGCCCTCGAGAACAGAAAGCTCACCGTTTAGAGCAGTCTTTAAATAAGAGCATTTAAATAAGATTTCCTGACATGCCTGGCATATTGGAGACATTTAGAAAATTTTAGTTTCCATTCCCTGTCTTCACTTTGGCTACTAAAGGAACCATAAGTGCCTTAGTTATATATTTGTATTACCCAGGAGAGCCTGCTGGGGTCCAGGAAACAGGCTAAGGTCATAGTCTTAGCATATGCTCCTGCATTTAACCCATTAAACATCATCAGATCACAGTTATAACACGGCCGTGATTCCCATTTTATAGATAAATGTCCTGTAGTCAGTGAGTGGGAAAACGAAGATTCCCCTTAAGTCTAACTCCCAGGCCTGTGTGTGCTCTTAAACACGATACTCTGCTCGCTCGCTGCAGAGCCACGGTTGTTAGTGGTTTGGGTAGAGAGCACTGCCCTGGAGTTTTCTTGCTGCTGAGGATTTTTGCCTTCCCTGACCTGGAAGCCCAGAGTCCCTGAAGGCAGATTTTAAACTTTTTTGACCGCAATCTACATAAAAAAAATATTTGCCCAACACAGGTGTATGCACGCACACGCACACACACAGTGCACTTTTGTATTTATAACCCAAACGAAACATCATTATAAAACAATATTTACCTCTTTACTATGTGTAGCTCTGTTTCTATTCTATTTATTAAAAAAATTCTGGTGACTCACTAAACTGATTTCATGACCCATGGGTCATGACCCACACTTTGGAAACGCTACTCTAAGGGGTCCTCGCTGGGTTCAGAGAAGTTCTGGGAGATGATGGACCCCACAGAAGGCCTCCCTACCATTTTCTCTTCTGTTATAAAGGTGTGTGTGTGTGTGTGTGTGTGTGTGTGTTTGTGTGTGTGTGTGTTTTCTCTGACTTTCTGTGATTACATTACTATGGAGGCAAACCCCTCTGAGTACTCCTCTTGATGCCCGGTGCATTTTGGAGCCTTCTGGTTTGGCTGGTGGGAACAGGTACTATTCTCAGGCTTGTGTGGCTAGGAGCACTGCTCCCTGTAATTCCTGGATGGCTCTTTCTCAGGCCCTGCTAATTTCCTCACATGCAGGCACTGGTCAGTTCTCAGCTGAATACTCAAGGTGTCCCTCTGCAGCCCCTTGGAGTTCTCTCTGTGCAGCTCTCTCTTGTTACTTTGTCTAATGAACTCGAGCTGCCTTGCCCTCCCCAGTCTCTCAGCTCCTTCTCAACCCAGGGAACCCACTGGGCTCTGCCTATATTTCCCTGGCCTGGCTGGACCTGGAAACCCTTTCCAGGCAGTAAGGTGGGCAGTCCATAAGGCTCATCTCCTTTGTTTCCCATCTTTCTATCCTTCCTTGTCTGATGTCAGTGTCTTGGAAAATTGTGGTTCATATTCTGTTTATTTCTTGTTGTTGCTGTTGCAGGCAGGAGAGGAATTCTGGTCCCTGTGTTACCCCATCTTGGCTGGAAATGGAAGTCTTGGCCTTCCAAAAGTTCTGAATAGTAGATGTGTCAATTTGGGGGAATTGGATATAAATGTTTGTTTAATGTTATTAAGCCCATAAATTTTCTTTCTGTTTTTCTCTACATATGTTTCATTTACTCATATAATATTGATTGAACATCTGCTGTGTGGACACTACGAAAGCTATAGAGATAGTGGTGAGCAAACAGCCTTCACAATTTATAATCTCTCATGAGTTTGTTAGTCCTTGAGAATCTGATCATGGAAACAATGGTGTTCTGGGAACTGTGATGCTCAAGACCGGACCCTGGAACCTGGATCATGGCGCCTCCTATTCCTGAGGAACCAGCTGGTCTCTTTCTGAGGTCTTCATTTCCTTTTGCTAACTGTAGTTCTATTGCTCTTAAATTGTAAAAGAGGAAGTTTCATTTATTTAGCATCAGTGAGTCTTATTATTTTAATGATGAATCTCATTTCAAAGAGTAAAGTGCAGAAAAAACTTAACATTGTCTGTTTCTGATTATAGTAACAATTGCAACTGACATGTCAGTACCAAGGACGATCTATATCTATGCCATATATATATATGAAGTATTCATAGACCACATATATGTATAAGTGTGCGCGTGTGTGTACACACACATATATATGGTCTGTGAATATTTTTTTCTGAAGTAAACTTTGATGACATGCAATGAAGCAGTTTACGATGTATGAAATTGTTCCTCACAAATTCTAAGATAAATATCTATAAAGTGAATGTTTTCATAAATTGTGTTAAAAATAGTGCTATCCATCTGGCAAAGATACACTTTTAACTCCAAGTTATATTTTAAAAAGCCAACATACTTACCATATGTCTCAATAATTTTAAGGTAACAACTACTTGAAACAAGATGTCTGGGACCCATATACCACAGCCAGTTGCCCAAAAAGTTCATCTGTTAACCATTGTACTGGCAGCGAGCATTGCTTTCTTTTAAATAGAGACTAAGTTTTGTAAAGCTCAACTTTGTTTTTCTTCTGTAAAAGACTGTGCAACATTGATAAACCTTAGTCATCTTAAAGTGTAAATGGTCTCCAATGTATAGTATTAAGAAAAAATATTCCAGGAAAATCTTTAATTATAATTTACTTTATTTATACATGCAAAACACTGAACAAATGAATATATTATTCCATGGAGACAAAGTGGCTTTTTTTTTTTAAACAGGAACTCTGCTCTGTTTGTTTACTTGGGCAATCTTTTATCAAGTGAGGCAGTTTCATAATCCCATTCAGCCTCTTGTGTACTTTGGTGAACTTTTTCCAGATTCTCTGGTAGTCAGATCCTTATAATGACATTTGTATTGAAGATATACCACAAAAATCACAAAAACTATGGCAACAAAGAGGATGAATTTATAGAGAAAGTGTGTTTTAAAGCTTTGTTTTCTGAATTCTAGATCTGAATTAAATTCAATTAAATTACTATTTTGACATAATGTAAAAGTTTGGTGTCTCTGTATACATGAGGTTATTTTATCATAAATTTTAATCTAGTCACCCTCTTAACTTGCCCCTTCCCTTCCAGGAATATGGGGAGTATTATTTGAGTAATGTATGTGACAAAAAGCTTTGTGTCATTAGTTGGAAAGGAAGTCTTTCAGTCTAAGTTTATGTTTCCTTATTATGGAAACATAATAAGTGTTGCCAGTGGTCTGGATGTGGGGGTCAGTGCTAGTTAGAGTCACTGTGGTCAGGATTTTTGTCTGAAAGAACATATAAAAAAGTGATCAGATTCAGTTCTTTCTCCCTCAGAGAATCCTGCCAGTCCTCTGTGTTCCTATCCAGATACTGAAGCAGAAAGTAGTACATAGACTCCATAGTTATGTGGTTAAAAAGATGGAAACAGGGAAATGGAAGTAATAATTTTGTAAAAACCAGAATAGAAACTTTTAACAGAGGTGGGGAGGAGTAATGAAGTTGGCATGACAAAGAAATGTGTTATATGAGAATCATATCAGGGAAATATAGTGTATTAGTTTACTCTGTTCATATATAGTGTATTAGTTTGCTCTCCTCTCTCTTTCTTTAATAATTATTGCTCCAAAGAAAAATTGATGCATTACTTTGAGAAAAAGTGCAAGCTATATTGTGGCTGTTGTGTTTTGATACACGAATTTCATTCTCCACTGTGCTTTTTTATATAATTTGCCCATTAGAAAGGGGTACCTTTACTCCCCCCAAAAAAAATCCACAAACCAATATTTGAGAGATTGATCAAGTCTAATTATAATAAAATTATGCCATAATTTCTGCGTTAAACATCTTATCTTATACTTAATTCAATTTATGTCCCACAAGATGTTGTGAGATCTTTTAATGCTGAAGCTGTCACTGTAGTCTGTCTTTACTTGGTGGGAAGCATACACTACTTACCTTCACTGCTCTTTTTGGTGTTTCAGCCAATATGGGTGGTAGAATTCCCTTGTAAAAACCAAACAACCTGTTGGAGAAATAAAAAGGTTTTATATAAGTAAGGGAATTAGAAAATAGGCAATTTTGCCTTTGTTTATAGATAAAGCAACTAATCTTAAATTATTCCCAATTATTCAATATAACCACCAATTCTGAAGTCCTCCTTTGTTTTATTTTATTATTTTTTTAAAAAAAGATTTCAAAATTGATTTTTAAAGAAAGAGAGAGAGAAAGAGAGATGGAGAGAGAGGTACATCGATGTGAGAGGGGAACACTGACGTGCTGCCTCCTGCATGTCCCCTACCAGGGATCAAGCCTGCAACCTGGGCATGTGCTCTGACTGGGAATTGAACCAGCAACCTTTTGGTGCACAGGATGACACCCAACCAACTGAGCCACACTGGCCAGAGCTCCTCCTTTGTTTTAATTCTAAAGTAGAGAGATTATGAATACTATGCTTATTAGCATTGTTCAGATGAAGAATAAATGATACTGAGACTGAAATCTCTTAGGTAAGTTGATAAATACAACCATGGCTGAACCTTAAAGATGAAGTTGATTCCCCTTAATCTAAGGAATCTTGGATTTATTTTCTAAGTTGTGTAGTAGGTAGCTTCAAGATGTCTCTTGTCTTGCATTTTCTCCCTTATGGGAACTAAATGAGGCAGGGTCATTAAACTCAAACTTTCTGGGGCTAACAAGGTGATAAAATCTCAATTTTAGTTTTACTAATACATAGACCTTTAGTAACAGACCTTATGGCTATGGACTTGGACTCCTGGGCCTGTCCTGATTTGTCATAATTTTTAAATTTCCTTAATAGAAATGGAAGTAGGTCAGGGACATATGTTGCTGACAGAAGAAATGTCAAACTCCCTTGCTAAATATGCAATTTCACAGGGCCTGGGACAGCTATTCTTGCCTATGTTGAGGAACTTGTCACATATTCAGATGTTTTTAGAAAATAATGAGTAGATAAGCTTATGATAGGTTTATAAAAAGTCATCACTTATTTCACATTAAAATTTAAGACTGAAAATTTTAAATTTGTCTAACATGGAATCTACTTATACAGGGTGTCCCAAAAAAATGTATACACACCGTAACTGCTGATAGCTCAATTGTATATATATATATATATATATGCCATATCCTCACTTTAAACCTAGAAATACATAAATAGAAGAGAATATTCTACATTATCTTCTGAGATAATCAGTTTTCCTGATGAACCCATAAGTGACTAGAGATAAAGGCGGGACTCAGTGTGTTCCTATGTTAGGATGGTCATTTTACATTGGGTGGGAGATTCTTTGATTGACCCCTCAAACTTCAACTTATTCAAGTTGAGTTCTGCTTCTAGTTGTGCTTCTGGAACAATAAAGTTATGAATTTATTCAGACTAACTCACTGTGCCACCCAATCCAACATGGTGACCTTTTGCTCTTCCTTAATTAACTGGCATATACCGCACCCTTCAGTGAGGGGAGCAAAAGGCTTGTCTGCAGTTTTTAAACTGTTAGCTCCTTGAGGGCTGGGTGTGCATTACAGTGCTTATCCCAGACTGTGTGTGTGTGTGTGTGTGTGTGTGTGTGTGTAAACAGAATACAATGTTTGTTAAGCATATGAATTTTTAAGAGGAAGAAAGGAATCAAATAATCCCCTCATATGGATTTACTGTGCTCACTAATTTTCAGTGAATGGATAGTACTAGTATTATGAATAGGAAGTGAAGCAAATACATGTTTTGAATAATTATGGGAATTCATAAATCCCCCCACCTCCTTTCATTCAAATTTCAAGTATTAATGCCTGAAATTCACTTGTGAAATTTAGATACCAGAACTCTTTATCATTTCAATTTTATTATAAATTATTAGAGGTCCAGTGCATGAATTTGTGCACAGGTGGGGTCCAGCCGGCCTGGCCCCAATTGGGATGGATCAGGGCTGGGCCTGTCAAGAGGAGGAGATGGTGGGAGGTTGGCTGACTGGCCCCCTCAATCGGCCCTATCAGGGCCAGGCCAGCTGGGGGAAGAGGCTTCGGGCAATTGGCTGGTGGGCCCTGCCCCCAATTGAGGTTGGGGGGGCGATTGGGGGTGGGGCAGGCCATAGGGAGGGGCTGTCGGTGGTATGTGTTCCAATCTCTGGCTTTTCATATACATAGATTACGTAAGTTTCAGCATGAGAGTGACTAAGCATAGGTTGGTCTTCCCAAAAGATAAACGTGATTTTCCTGAAGTTCTACGTTTATAATGAAAGATATTATTAGTTCTGTTATTTCTGTGCTGAATTTTCTACATCCAGAAAATTATGCCTGGTTATGGAGGGGGGTGGAATTAAGAACATGTAAGTAACTAAAGCTTCTAGAGCTGAGTGTCCCAGTTAATAAAGGTACTTGAAATCCCATATAACAGAGAACAGTTATGGGAAGAACAGTTGCTCAGCCTTAAGAAAAAAGATCGTAGGGAGAAACATGAACATGTGATGGATCTCTTGGAAGGCGAGCATGTAGGAAAAAGATTAGACTTGTTTGTTTCCAGTGGTAGAACTAGGACCAACAGGCACAAGCAATAAGGAAAGACACATTTTTGTCCCAGTAGGAACTTATACATGGAAACACTCCTAATAGGACTACCTAGAGATAGACTGGGCTCTCCTGAAAAGTGGTGACTGCCCCGTTGTGATATGTGGTCAAGCAGTCTAGATGGCCACTTGTAATGGATGCCAGAAATGGGACACACACAGTAATAGATGGACTTGCTGGCCCTCCGGGTTGGTCTCCTCTAACCCTCAGATTTTGTTCTTCTAAAAAGAACAAGAGGCCATGGGAAAGTTCTTTTCTGAAAAAACAAACTATTATTTCAAACTTTTGCCTAAAGCTTCTCTGGAGGACAGAAGTCTTATAAGTAACACAGAAGGTCTTCATTTTAAAAATGATGGGAGAAAATATTAAAAAGAGGTGTAAGACAGGAGGAAGAGAGGCAGCTGGGAGAGCCACAAGGATTTAATCTGAAAAGATCTGGGAGGCCAAGACCCTCTGCTTCACATTGGCAATGCTTCCTGATGCACCCTCCTTCCCTTCTCCCTGCTCGGTCAGGTTCATGTGCAATCACCCCCGTCCGCTCACCAACCACCTCCAGCCTTCCCACCATCCTGAACTTTCTAACAGTGAAAGGATAGCTTAACAGGAAGTTCTCAAGGACCATAGACAGTCTTTGCTGGCAAAAGGGAAGCTAGAATGATCTATCTCCTTGCAATGTATTCACAGACTTCATGCAATAGTGAACATCTCTGGAATAGTCAGAGGTGGCCCCTCTTCTGGTGAGAACGGCCACCCCATTTTTAAAATAAACACTGCCTTTATAATTATAAAGGAGCCAACATACTACTACAATGATATTGCTTGTAGGCAGTGGTTGATTGGGCGCCTCACTAAATGGATCCAAATGCTATTCTTTGCCCCAGTTAATCTGAGCCAAGTTAGACCTAGCTGAGTTCCGCCCCCTCCAAGATTTTGGAATTAGAACTAAAAAAGTGATTCTACCTCTGTCTGGTTGAAGCTCTATAAAGCTAAAAAAAACCAAAGGCAGTCTTCTGTCATTTGGAAGAATCCAGTGTACACTGATAAGAAGGAAGGAAACTACCATTTAGGGAAACAGAGTCAAGATGGAGAAGAGAAATCCTGGTACTGGAAGCCTGACTCTCCTGCCAGGACTTCTTTAAGCTCGGTTAGATCTCAGCTCTTTTGAATATTGGCATTTCCATTGCTCTTGGTTTCCTGAGATACCCAGTTACATTTATAACACACTTAAATTTTTACTTAAGTAAGTTTGAGTTGGGTTTATTACTTATAAGTGAAAGTCCTAGATCCAAAAAGGACACGTTATGGCCCCTCTTGCCAAAATGGCTGCAGCAGCATCTCAGTTCCATGCCCTCTCACACGAAGAGTCTTTCTGTTAGTTTGCATGAGACGCTGGGCCCATCAGAAGAGGCACACCCAAAATTTGAGCAAAAAAAATGTAGGCAAAAGCTCAAGCTGACGAGCTATTTTTCTGACTTGATTAGAAAATTACTGAAAGTTTTCCTAATGTAAAGTATGACATACAAATTCTGAGAAACAAAATGGAATTGTAATGTTTTATGAAGGACATATATTTTTGTCTGCTGAAGAACTGATGTTTATATCCACATGCACTGTTCATTCTGCCAGTTTTTTCTGCCTTCATGTAGTTTTGCCTTGAAATACAGAACATGTAGCTTACCAGGATAACAACTAGGGAAGTTAAGAGATTTATGACACCCATATCAACATGCTTTATATGGCTTATATCTCAAGAAGCAGAGTGACACTTCTTGGGTCAATGGAAACTGGGATTCTAATGTGTGCAATGGCAATTCTTTTCCCTGAAAACATAGTAAAGCCACCACTCTGGTTTTAAGTTTTGACCCACATCAAGCTGACTGGAGAACTCTTTGGAAGAGGAACAAGAACCAATGCCAGACCTCCCATAACACTGTAGTATAAACTATATGGCAGCCTTCCTGTTTTGTTTCTCAAAGTTGCTTTACTTCTGAAATAATGAGTTTGATTTTAACTAGCATGTGTAGGAAAATGTTAACTTGGATGTTTATAAACTTTTGTTACTATTGTTATAAGTAAAAAATAGTCCAAATTTGTTGAATGATTACCATGTACTAGCCAGTCTGTTAGGGATAACTATTCCAAGGCATATTGACATATTTTAATCTCATTCAACTCCCACAACAAACCCTTGAAGTGGATATGATTATGTCAATCATTTTGCAGGTGAGGCTATCATCACATCAATGCCAAATAGGATACAGTGACTCAAATCAGTTCCATTGTCCTCACAGTCCATGTTCTTGACCACTGGGCTATACTGTATTTCAGTTTTTCTTGAAATAAAGCTACTTTTATAAACACTTTTGGAAAGCTATTTCTGTTGCAAAAATGTTTTGACATTTCTTATTTTAGGAGGAAGCAGAAATGGCAAATAAAAATCAG